AAACCCCTTTTTACGCCTTGATTGGATTATTGTTTATCACTTCATCAGACGAAGTAATAATTGACCTCAGATTTGCATACCTCCCCGAGGAGGCTGTAACCACTCTGAGATATGATAACACGGTGTTGGTAAGTCTGTCAGATTTCGTAAATAATTTTAGGGCTCTATCCGTTATATACTTCTTGATGGGATCAATCTTGAGGTCCCTGAGGATATCATTCGTCCTAATAGCTTGCCAGTATTAATTCGGTTCATGGTAATGACTAGCATTGATTTGTTCATTATATGGGACACGTATTGGACAAGACTTTTAATAGTCTTGTTGTATAAATTCGAAGTTGACTGTTTTTTTAACAAGTTATGACTAATTTGCATTTATTAGTACCTAGCTGCAGAAAGCACAGAACGATTTCTAGGATCCAGTATCCTTTCAAGAAGTAATAAGGCGTCCTAAATTGTTTGTTTTTTCATTTCCTTAAATACTCCAGTGACCAGGAATGTTCACATACTTTCATTTACTTAGTGAAAATATAAAGATGAATATGTTCATAACCAAAATCTCAAATATCAAATTTTCAAGACTCAAAAAAAAGATCTTCTGTATTAGCAAACTCAGAAAAAGAAGGCAGAAGTCCAAATAATTTACATAAATATAATAAAAACTGATTGGTACTAAATACCTCCAAAATTAAAATAACCTCAAATATTAGCTTGAAATATTCAGTTAATATTGTACAATCCTAAATACTGAATTTCTATCAAGTTTTCCGATTAGTTTCATATCTTCTACTAAAACTGCCGAATACTAAAGTACCATCAGATCTTTTGATTACTATCATATTTTCCATTAATATTGCGGTACGATTTCCTGAGTACTGGAGTTTATTCATATCCTTTGTTTTTCTTTATAGCTCCTCGATTTTCTGAAATCATTCCCGAATGTTGACGTTCTGGCTAATCTTTTGATTGGTCTCATTGAAATTAATGGTTAATATTGAAAAATTTTTTCACATTACTAGAGTCCAATTATATGCAATGACTAGTTTCTTAACTCCCATTAATATTGGAGTAGTGTCAGATCTCTTAATTATTTTAAACATCCCATTTATATTGAGTAATCGATTCTTAATATTGATGTAATCATAAGTGAAAGAACTATATAGGTATATATGCAAAATTATTTATGATTATTTTGTTGTAAATTTGGGTTTAATACATAACGCATTATGTTCTAATTATTATTTTATTTGTTATTTTTTTGTGTTTTTTTTTTTTGTACAACAATTTTCAAATGCACATTAATCATTTAAATAGTTTATTATGTATATTTTCAATGTGATTACATCCTTTTTACAATTTTATTTTTTAATTATTTTTTTGTGTTGTAAAATATTAGCAATTAGTGGGTAAGCCCATAAGTAGAACAATATAAACAATATACCCGTAAAATAATTTATATACGTAAGTCTATGGGTGGACTTATAGATGTGTGAATTGCGCCCCAAAAACTCCAAAAAGTGAAAAAGTTATAGAAAGAGAAGAAGGGAGAACAGTTTCACTATTCAATTTAACTAATGAGATTGAAAATTATTTTACCACACTAACTGTAGTACGGAAATACATACACTAACTTTTTGTTAAATATTTATTTACGATACAGTGGGTAGAAAAATTGCATCATTAGATAGAATTTTGTGAAATAATTAAAATTGTACAATATAAATAAGTATATATTGTATATATAGTTGAATAAGTTCAGCAGTCTTCAATACAATGAAACGAGACTGATTGAGGTAACCGAATCACACCTTTGCCTGAAAAGGAAATAATATTTTTAGTTATACTCTATATAATTGTAAGGCTTTGGGTTCGGATAATAATAATAATAATTATAATGGGGCGCTTAAGTTAACTAAATAATGTTAAATACTTCACAGCAAAAGATTATCTATCTTCGGTCTTTTCAACGGAACACACTTTGTTAATTCTTGTTACTCTTTGCTGCACTGAGGGATGAAGTCCTTTTTGTAATCTTCCAATCCTTCTCAGTTTAAATAAATTATAAGACTTACATTTACAGAATTCAAAAAAAATCAATAAGGTCTGAAGACTACGGACCGCAAACCGTAATTAAAGAAATATGAGCTATGTGCCGTTATGAAACAATCACCTGCTACTGTTGAGATAAGAAGACACAAATGGTGCTGGATAGGCCACAAACTCCGCAGACCCAATGAAAACATAACACGCTAAGCTCTGAAATGGAATCCTCAAAGTAGTCGTCGATCTGGAGCGTCCGCTACAACTTGGAGGAGCACAATTAAAGAAGAGCTAAGAGAAGCCAATTATTGCTGGAATAATATCAAATAATAGAATCCGATATAAAAGGATTGTAGAGGCCCTATGCTACACTGGAAGATGAGGATGAGAGAAAGAAAGAAAGAGAGAGAAAAAAAGAGAGGGAAATGAAGAGAGAAAGAGAGAGAAAGAAAGAGAGAGAGGGAGTGAGAGAAAAAGAGAGAGAGAGAAAAAGAGAGAGAGAGACAGAGAAAGAGAGAGATAGAGAGATGTTTTTGTATATAGTGATATATTCGAACATGCAGTGAAGTGAAGGAGAGGTCTGCAAGAGACAGGGGAAGGACGTTTACATTTAAAGATATTTTTTTATTAATTATGACTGTTTAATAAGATAAAAATTGTATTGGCACTCCCGCAGATAATTGCTCTGGGTCTTGGTACTATTAACAAAAGGTTCATAAAAATTTTTTTAATAATATCTATTTAATAATATAATTTTAAGTGTAAATTTATATTATATTTTTTTTATATTTATTATTAACACTACCCACTGTGCAAAATGTAATGCCATGTATTAACAAACAAATGCTTACAGTGTTTATTGTTGAAGCGTTAAAGCATTTATTATTTCGGTGGCTTTGGTTTTGTCTGTTAGTCCTTGCCATCCCATAGATTTTCTACTGCCCACTACAACCCGCCCACTGTAATGTGGTATTTTAATAATTACACATATTTTTAGACACACTTCAGTTCATGCCTTTTTAGTTTGTTAGTTTGCCCTTTAGGTGCTTTCCCATTTAGTTAGTATCTTTTGGATAGTTTGTTTCTCTGTTTATTGTTTGTTGTTTGTTGTTTGTTGTACTCGTTTTTGTTTATGGTAATAGTGTTATTGTCGTTGGTATAAATAATGTGAAGTGTCCTTTCAGCTGTGATGTTGGAGTTGTGGTGAATATTGGTACTTCATGAACACAACGACTCGTATGAACTCTTGCATTGTGCCTACAGGATAATGATAATGGTGATTTGTAAGTTTATTTAGGCTCTTAGGCTCTCAGGCTCTCCGGCTCTTAGCTCGACTTTAGTTTAGTTTCGTTTCTTATTTTATGGTTTAAATTAGCGTTACAGTTTGCTTAAATTCAGTGTCCTGCGAAACAAACAAACAAACAAACGAACAAACAAACAAACGGAACTACTAAATTTGAGTTGGAATTCTTTAGTTTTATGTCCTGCCGCCGATATGAAGGAAGTATCTGTGCGCTTTAATATGCGTGGAATGTGCTTCGAGATTTATGCTATTCGCTGCCATTTTATTGTTTACACAAGTAACCACAAATTCTTTTTATAGTTTTATTTATTGCTGTTTTGTTTTCTACTTTATTTCGCTTTTTGGTTAATTGTTAGTTTTATTTTCTTCTACTGAAAGTGTCTGCATAAATTGTTTAAAGGTTAAGCATGCAAAAGCAAAAATTTATTAGTCCTTAATAAAGTTTCCGTCCACTTAAGAGAAATTGTTGCTACTTGTGTTTGATTTTTTTATTTTTTTATTGCATTTCGTTGCAATTTATTACGAGATTTATAAACATTAATTTTTATGTGTTTTATATATAAGCTAAGATATAAATTATCTGTTAATTTCAAATAAAATTTGATAGAAATTACAAAAAAAAATTTGATTAAGCATTTTATGTGGCGCGAAGTGCACATAAAATATATATTACTGATTTGCTTTCAATAAAATATATATTATATATATATTATTCTTTTTATACAAATGCATTGGGACAAAGTGGGTATTTTGAATAAGGCTAAATCAGTAGTATTAGTTACACCCATCGCATTCAATCGCTACTCTCTCGTTCTTGTTATGCACACCAGAAGTTATAGACAGTTATGGCAACAAAAACATTTATGTAGTCCTGCGCTGACCAAAGCACGGCCCATAGGCTATATACGGCCCGCGGCTATTATATGTGTGGGCCCGCGACTAATATGTGTGGGGCCCGCGATATGTTTCTAATCTACCACAATTACGCAAATTTTCCTTTGATATATATTGGTAAAATTACATTTTATTTTTATGATATCCCAAAAAACTGAACTCAACGAATAATTAATTAAACTAAATTTAACATTATCATATTTTATAATAACATTATCAAAACATTACTATATTTTTAACTTTCTCCAAAAAAAACATGGTCGTATATATGTTGTTTCTGCAGCCTTCCAATATGCACTGGCACACGACAGTATCTGCTCTGGACAGCCCTGATGTAGACCGTAACCTATAAGGAACTTCAGTGTGGCTACTTCATTATATACATTTTTATATAAACAAATTTTATATACGTATTTATTATATATGTATTTACTTATATATGTATTTATTTTATTGAATTTAATCGTTTCTGCTTTATTGTATTTTATTTAATTTTTTGTTTCTTTATGCATGTATTTATGTATTATTTATATAAATTTAGTTTTATGTATATACTAACTTTATTTTCATTATATTCTCACTTAACTTTAATCTGCATTTATTTGAAAGAATGCACTAAAAGTGGAAGCAAGAATCAGAGTGGAAAAATATCTTCTTTTATTCCGGTTGCTAAGGGTAATATTTTCTAGATTTCATTATTGTTGCTTAATTTTTTTGTGGTCATTAAAATTTTATAAGACACCCGGAAGAGTTATTTTGTTACATGAATACCAAATTCAGTCCATTGTAAACATTTGGAATCTGGTTGAATATAAATTGTTAAATGTTGATTAGCTTGCAAGGCATGACCCAGTGATATCGTAACCGTGTTATGCTCCATTATACAATATAAAACATATCATGTTTTGATAGTTTTTTTTCTATTTTTGTTTCTAAGAGCACTGTTGATGGGTATTGGGCAATACTCGAAACAGCTGTGTGGTCAGTCAAAATCCCAATTAATTAAAAATAAGACAAAAAATTTTTGTTGTAGCAATTTCACTACTGTTCAATAGTTTATATTAAGAATTTAGTTTCATTCTTCAAAATGGACGTTAAAAATCGAGTTTAATTTTTTTTTGTAATCTGAGTGTTCAAATAGTATCATAGATTATATTTTCTTCTAAGATAAAGATTTTCTAAAAGGATATAATTTTTTCTTGGTGTAGTTTACTTTTCTCAACGAAGGTTGACTTATCTGCAGGAAGCATTTATTTTCTTCTTATTATCAGATATCGGGTCAAAGATATTGGGCGAAGTATTTATGAACTGACCCTTTTATTTATAAAACCAGAATAATGCTACAAAATAATATGTTATTAAATTATGGATTATTTATTTATGGATTATTATAAAATATTATTTTATGGAGTACATAAAATATATTTTGTATTAAAAACATTAAGTAATTGAAAGCTCCCAGTAGTTGGGTATTTAAAACATTAGAATAAATAAAGTAATATAGTAAAAGCTTATTTAAGCGGACATCGTTGGGACCTGAAATTCCGTTTGGTTAAAAGAACTGTCCCATTAAAATAACGTACTTTGTATGAGAAATAAAAACTGAGGACTACCCAAACTATACGTTTAAGAATAATGTCCGTTTATAAAAGTGCCCGTTTCAAAGATTCTTCAATGTATTTTTTTTTAATTTTTTCACTTTTCATAACTTATATTTTTATATATTGTATTTAATATATTTTTTTTACTAATTAGTGAAAATATGACATTAGGGCTGTTGATGTGAAGTCATAATAGATACATATTATCACGCAATAGAAGCATTAACTATGTGCTAGTTGACGTATAGATTACTTTTCTAGAATTTATGGAGGTATTAACTTTTTTTTAAAACTACATTAAGTAAATTGTTTAAAATTGCTATTATTTTTAGAAGTTGGTGTTTATATAAAAGGAAATTGATATTTAATCCAAAGTGTCAGTTAATATTCTCTAAGTGTAGCGTAAACATAATGATTATTAACCAGAGCAGATTTTTTCTTAATTTAATATATTTAATGTGTTTTAATATTAAAATAGCTGAATTAGAACAAAGTTTTATAAATTTAAATGAAACCAACAAAATCGAAGTTTTGTTTTATGAGAAACTCTTACAAAGAATTGAGCAACACTGGCAATACTACACTTGCAGTCTTTTCGGCTATAAAAACGATTTCCAGGATCAAGAATTTCTTTGGAAGATGTTGCAATATAAGTTTCAAAAATCGATACTTACATATGAGCCTACATATACTTTTAATATTCACATGAAATATAATAAGCAAATGTTGATCATTGTGGCCTTGCAAGAACCGAAATTAGTAGAAATAATCCGGAGTTTAGTTAAAAATCTGCATCGTATAAGAGATACGCCTGTTATATTTATTTTTACTAAATATGGAACTACTAAAGGTACAACCACAGAAATATTACAAAATTTATTTAAGATATGTTTCAAATATAAAATGCTGAATGTAATCGCAGTCTTGAAGAACTCAACGATTACTGGTTCATATTATAGTTATATGCCGTTTCCAGTGTTACTACTGGAACACAGAGAACTTAATGATGACATTGATACCAATATTTTTCCATCACGCATGCAAAATTTGAATGGATATCCCATACGTACAATACCGGATCAAATATCTCCACGTACTGTCATGTACTATGACACTAAGGGCAACCGCAAGATCGCAGGTTATGTAGCTAAAATGATTAGATTGTTTAGAGATAAACTTAATGCTACTATACTGTATCCATTTGAAGTGACAACAGGAACTGTCTTCTATTTTCGAAATTTTTTAAAGCTTATTGCAAATGACACTATAGATATAGGCGGTGGTATAATGAATTCGCTGGTATACAGTGATAATGAACAGCTTTCTTATCCACTTGAATTTGCTAATTGGTGTGTAATGGTGCCGGTAGAATCGCTGCAAACCTATAGCGATTACTTCATACACCTGTTGAACTGGAAAGTTCTTCTATACTTACTGTTACTCAATACAACCTTTTCGGTGTTACTTTATTATAGCCACAAACTTATAAATTTGTATTTGGCGCAAACTTTTACTATGCATTACATAGACAGGATTATGCATACCCATGCTTTTTCTGGAATTATGGGTTTCTCATTTATATTACCTAAAAATCCTATATTAACAATGCGAGTTATTTACATTTTATTATTTTTTACTGGTTTCATTACGAATAATATGTTGAATGTAACTCTAAGCGTATTTTTAACTCATCCACCAGTTCGAAAACCTATTACTACTATGGATGAC